CTTAGTTTAGTACTCACATGCTGTGACAGCCGCTTTCTGTTAAAATTCAGTAAATGTTGGGAAATGTTCAGTCAATGCGCCTTCTGATTTTGACAGTCTTATCAGGTTGTAAAATGCAATCTGAACGCCCACTAACTCTGCTGTCTTCTTGCAGCCAGTGACTATGGCCTCTTCCTGTCAGATGAGGACCCAAAGAAAGGTATTTGGCTGGAAGCAGGCAAAGCCCTGGACTACTACATGCTGAGAAATGGGGTGAGTCTAGAATATTTCAAATAAAACATCAAGTAAAGTAATTCAATTAAAATATTAAATAGAATAATGCTCATTGTGAGTGCACTCTCTATAAAATGTTTACTTCTCTAGTAGTCACAAATGAGTGTAAAATCATACAAAATCAAAGGTGTGGAATTCATGCCCACTCTTTCTATATTTTCACTGGGATTGTCTTCAGGAAAATGAAATTTTAAATGTATTTGAAATGAGTCCATGCACTTTTAAGCATCTGTAACTGGTAAAGCATGGATCTAGCAAAACCAGGTTCAAGTGTTGATTGCCAGTGTACTTACTGATAAAATGTAACTGTAAATTACTTTGTAGCATCTGTCAAATGAAAAAATGTAAATGCCAACATTATTTGTAAAATCAGTGTTATATTAAAATTATATAAACGTGATAGTCAGTCCTTAAAAACTGACACTTATTTAATATACAGCAGATAACACTAGTGAACATAATTTGCTGAGATTTATAAAGGATTTTTCATAAGAACGTGCATTTTTTTTAGGACACTCTGGAGTACAAAAAGAAACAGAGACCCCTGAAGATCCGCATGTTGGATGGAACTGTTAAAACAGTCATGGTGGATGACTCAAAAATCGTCAGTGACATGCTAATGACCATCTGTGCCAGAATAGGTAAGTTAGTATCCATATGAGGAGCGAGAACTCCATTTTGCCTGCTTTTTAGTAATTTCTAGGCCAGATCTCTCTTGTTTTATATTATACATGGATAACAGGTCTTACCAATTCAGTTGGATTAGCTCACTGTGCTCACTGAGTGCTCTCAGCATTGAGGTACCACAGGGTTCAGTGATCGGACCGCTGTTTTTCTCTATCTACACTGTACCACATGGGATAGTCATCCAGTCACATGGGCCCTGTTTTCACTTGGTATAAAGACATTTTTTGGTGATCCAATAAGAAGTGGTTAGTGTTAAATATAGGTGGAAACAGGGTCTAAAACATTTTGTGATCAGATTACTAAAACTACATTTGGATGTAGTCAGTAGCACTTAAGATTATGAATGGAGGTCTGCAACAATACTTAATGGAGGTCTGTAAAAATTATATTTAGAGGTTTAATTGAACTGGTATGACCCTTGAGGAGCAGTTTGAATGCAATGAGAGAGTAAAACACTTTTCGCCTGGTTTCTCAGGCATCACAAACTATGACGAGTACTCGCTGGTGCGTGACGTGGGCGAGGAAAAGAAGGAAGAGACCATGGGGACACTGAAAAGAGACAAGACCCTCCTGAGGGATGACAAAAAAATGGAGAAACTCAAACAGAAACTTCACACAGATGATGAGTGTATGTCGCTTCCTGCTTACCATGAATAAAATAAACATTGATGCATGTTGTTTGCTATTTTAGCAGGACTTCAAAACAATACATACAGTGTATTCTCAACCTGTTCACTCAAAGGAATTTCATAATGACAAAATGCATATTCTCATGTATTCTAGATTCTCGTTGACTGAATTTCTTTACACTGCACTCTGGCTAATCCATTAAAAAAATACATATAATTACATTTTTGGATTTGAAAAGACATTTTAATATTCCAGTTTTTAAGATAATGAGAAATGAAAATTCAGTCAAGTGTTTCCAAGCTTTTACATGTGGATGATATTTTGGAATCTAGTTGAATTTACTGATGTCAGAGCTGCATTTCAACAGTGAATTGGTTGGATCATGGGCGGACGCTGCGAGAGCAGGGTGTGGAGGAGTCTGAGATGCTGCTTCTCAGAAGAAAGTTCTTCTACTCGGACCAGAATGTGGATTCCAGGGACCCAGTACAGCTCAACCTGCTCTATGTGCAGGTAAACACCACTGAACATCACCTTTACATCATAATCATGTCCTAATGTCATTTGTAAACTGAATGATATCTCTCTAGTTTTTGTCCTTAGTGGCAAAGCATTCTGTCAGTTATTTCTGTGGCATTTATATGGGGGACGCTACTGTACACTCACTTCGAAATCTCATTGGTCTAAAATCACAGTCTACATAACTGTATGTTACACATTAAAAATGGTCTGGTTGGCTGTAATTGTGATGCTTTGTGCATCGTTTCACTTTTAGTGTAGACAAGTTACTTCTTGCTAGAAATGTATGAAGCAGTGTCTGCATAGTTATATCAGGTTGTTACTAATTTTGTTCAAATTCAATTGCATTTACGCACTGTATGTTGTATCCCAGGCCCGTGATGACATCCTGAACGGCTCCCACCCTGTCTCCTTTGATAAGGCCTGTGAGTTTGCCGGATATCAGTGCCAGATCCAGTTCGGAGACCACAATGAGTTGAAACACAAACCAGGATTCCTTGAGTGAGCTCAACACATTTCTATTTATCCTTGCTTTATCTGTATCTGTGAGTGTACTGCTTTAATTAAAATGTTTAATCACTATTTAACCACCTAATTACGTGGTAGTTAATGCCATCAGAGCCTTCAAAACCAACAAATTCTGCATTTCTCAAACTGCGCGAGAACAGAAATCCAAACACTGAACTCAAATGTACAATAACATCATTTGTTTAAGTTTACACTCATGGTTATGTTTACTGTTAGGTTTGAGTAAGTTAAAAGTACAGGCAGTTTCGGCTCGATCAATCAATTCTTAAAATATTGGTTTATTTGCATAAAATCTTTCTTTTGTTTTTTTGCTTTTTCTAATCATATTTTTATAAACCGTAGTAGTAATAGTTTAGCCATGTCATGTCTTGTCTGTTATGCTATGTCATGTCTTGTCTGTTAATTTCATCAGGAACAGAGTTGATGAGATTACCTCTGTTTCTATGAGTAATAACCATATTTCATGTGTGCATGATATTTCACATGTCAGGTTTTTGACTAAATTACATACAGTACGAACTGAAAACGTGACTTTTGTTAAACTTCCAGCACTACTATTAATCAGCCATCACTGTACTGGATTGAGTTGTAAAATCATGATCTTGTTTTTATACATCAGTTCCCAGCACAAGCTACTGCTATTCACCAGTCCAGATTGCTTTCATTCTCAAAATATTAATGAAAATAAAACTAATTCTTGATT